TTGTCAGTCCTTGGCTCGGCCACGTATAACCCTCCTATACATCCATGTAACAATCAATCCGGAGCCCATTTCCACCCTCATCACCTTGCAATTAACTTAGGGTATGTTTGGATAGACTTCTACTTTAATAGTATCAGAGTATAAAGTACATATATTGCTTTTACTTTGATATTTTTGTTGTAAAAACTGTTTGGGTAAAAAAAATTTGTAAAGTATGCTTTATGAAACAAAAGAACCATTTGCATTTCCCATTTGGTAAAAGAACGTTACTAGTCATGTGATTTAGTTAATCTTACACATGACAAATGCCACGATATGTCAGTACCCATGATTAGCCACCTGTATGCATTGAAGAGACACACAGGCCACGTGTATATATCATGTACGGTATTTATACACGTGGCAATTACTTCAGCGGTCAACAATGGTGATTCCAATGGAGACAGACCATTGAATCGTGGAGAAAATGGAGAAAAAACATTAAAAAGGGGAAAAGATGAAATCGGAACCCATACCTGCAAGTTTTTCGTCGGTAATGGCAATTCTAACAAAGAAGTAGCAGTACAATCGCCAACAGGCTGTGCTTTTTTTGGTGGCAATTTCTGATGGATTTGGTGGTCAGAGATAGGCGATGGCGGAGCAAGAACTCATGGTGGCAAGAAGGTATGGGCTTGAAGACGATAGGTGAGTGGGGAGTCTTCGGTCAAGGGGTTTTATCTAAGGGTGGTCACACGTTACCACCGTTCAGGGGTTTTATGTTTTTACTTTTTAGAATTATACGTACTTTTTAAAATATAAAGTAGTGAAGTACAAGGTTTTGCAATACACACTTTTGTATTTATTCTCTTTCCAAAATGAGCGTAAACTATAATCAATTAGAATTAGGCCTCGTTTGGTGCATCTTTCAGCATGGTTTGTTGGTTATTTAGAAGTCCGACAAATCGCACTGGGGTCTTTTTTCGTTTGGTTCATAGGAGATCTAACCGTAAAAAGATATTGTGCCAAAAAGATGTGCAAAGCTCGTTTTGAGCTATTTTCAGGAAGTTCCAAGTAGAGCTTTTCGAGGGTTTTTTTTCAACTCACCTTTGCGTGTAAAAATACACCTTAACCAAATGGTCTTCATGCTATTAAGATCTTAATGCAAAAATTCACTACACCTTTTGATTGTCAACTTTTAGAAGATTTTTCAAAAAAGATTTATCAAATGGCCCCTTATTTGTTTGTCTCATAAATTATACCTATCTAAATGGGGTGTAACTAAAGGAGATCCATTAATTGCTTCATTGAGTAGCGTGTGAAACCCCCTTTCATAATAAAAGGTTATAATTTATAGCTTGACTCAACTTTGCCACTTCCTTATTGCAAGGCCTAAGCTTTTTCTTTTTCATATGGTTGAATTGGAGTTCATATCTGCGCTCCACAACGTTCCACACTATATCCCCACTGTGTATTGGAAATATCTCCCAATAATGACATCATCAGCTCTGATACTATCATCAAGAGATGTTTTTAATACACAGCAGGATGTGCTGTGGGACGTTGTGGGACACAGATGTAAACTAACAGGATGTGCTGTGGGACGTTGTGGGGCACAAATGTGAACTCTTGAGGTATTAGAAGAGAATTCAAGAGGTATAAAAAATTATCAATCTGTTGTGATATAAGAATCGAATTCTATCCTCACAAACTGTGCTCACACCGTTACTTACAGTATCTTGCAACCTTGCATTCGGAAGGACTGAATCCGATCTCATAATAAGTTTAAAAAATTTCTTATAATATAGAAATCGCAACTAATCCAATATTCATTAATCTAAATCTAATTTAACGATCATAACCCATAATGTGTTGAAGGACTTTTTAGCTCGTGGTTAGTTTGTTGTCTCTTTTTCTGTTTGTTTGTCTGTAGTGTGTGACCCAGTCTTAGTGTCTAGCTGGTTTCTCTGTGTTGATTTCTTATTTTTATTCTAATGAAAATCTTTTTTAACAAAAAAACTTTGCCACATGAACCTACTAAATTATTAATTAGAAACTGCTTTAATTTTGACTCCAACAAGTGCACATAATTAATTAGGGTAAATGGTATTTTTATGTAAAAGCGTATGGCTGTAATCCAAACAACCCTGGTGGTCTTCTGTATTCTTTAATAAAGCAAAACAACGTCATCTTTATTCGTTTTGACCGTGACGTCATCCTAGTAGGACTCAGAAATCAACTGTCGACCTGTTTCCAAACACTAGGATGGAGCGTAGGAGTATTGCATGGATAATCAAGGTTTTGGTAGCTAATTACTACTTCCTTTTTTCAGTTCTCTGCATCATTTCAGTACTAGAAAAGCCCAAAAAACCAAAAGAAAAATAAAGATAGAAGTTAAATTAATAAATTTTGTGAGAGTAGCCTTCCGACAAGAGTGAAGAAAGACAGAAATCCGGGCGGCCTTGAATTCACGCGTGCTCATTAAAAAAAACCTTTTGGGTCTTGATAGTCTTCGCGATTCTCACTGAAAAACATTTCTCCGCTTTTGCTTCGTGATGTATGTATTGGAGTTGGGAATTGGGATCCCCTGAATCGGATCTCTCTCTCTCTCTTCCCCTTCGTGATAAGACATAAGACATATTTGTGAGGATCTACATAGACAAATGGAAAGGACAGTAATACCCGACAGACAGCTCTTCTAACCAGATCTCCAACTGACCAACTCCCGTCAGGTTCAAACCTTCAACCTTCATCCACCTCCCCTATGATATATACCTACTTGTTCATTTATTTATATATTCTTCGAGTTCTGAGATGTATATGTTTATAATATACCTCAGATCCATTATCTTCAATGGGTTCCCTCCAATCAAGCAATTTTGATTTTTTCTTTCCTCACTTTTAAACAGAGCGTTCGGATCAGTCGGCACTCGGCAGTGAATCGAGTGTTTGACTGAGTACATCGATCCAACTCTGGAGTCTCGGAAACCAAGCAGAGTAGTACTCCGCACTCCGCAGCTATTTTAGTATTTAATGTATGTGAATCTTCGGAGTTAATGCAGGCATGGAACCCATAAAACTACTAGAGGTAGAAGACAAATCCCATGCTGATCTTGAAGAGAATATGCCTTGGGAATTGGAGTTCGCACGCAAAACGGTTTTTCCGTTCTGTTTATATTTTTATATAAAAAAAAAAAAGAACAAGTTATTGGAAAGAACCCAAGCTGGGGAATGTGTCTTTAAATCTGTAGCTCAGTTTGGCTCCTTCGACGATCGACCATCGATCGGCCGGTGGAAAACACGGCCACGTAACCCATCAAGCTGCTAACCTATGTTCACACCGATCATCCCCTCTCGAGTCTCCAACCCAACCAAGGTGGTATATATATTATAGAAGAGGATCGATAATGCAATAAATTAAGAATATCTTTTATTAAGACACGACATAAGAAAAGGCAACGTGCTTCCCTTTTTGCTGGTCATGTGGTGTCGTCCCTATTTTGGTGGTCTCTTTCACTCATTGTCTTAGTTTGATCACCCTCTCGCCCCTATACTACAGTAGCCCTTACCCTTAAAAGACGTTCTTGTCCACCATTTCCTCCATGGATTTTACTGTGGAGGTCTTGTATATATATGTAATCTCATCAGTACCTATCAAAATCGTCCAGTTGAGATCAGACAATCTCAGATTGACTTAGATATGACCCCACCTACTCAATGTTCTAAAAGCTAGACAATTTTCGACAACTTTCGAAGAAAAAGCCTAGTAGTTTATGATGAGAGCTATTGTATTCTTCTGGCTGTCTGATCAGTAAGGATCAAATGCATTATAGTTGCACTGAACAAGCAAGACTCTCAAGGCCTAGTTAAATTATAGATAGCAGCCAGGAGGCCAACGTATACCCTTGTTTTCTTTTTCTTTTACCTCGTTGTTTGGTTAATTACTTGGGTTGGGACGTTATTGGGTGTCTCAAATCTCAATACCCAGCCCAGACGGCCTATTTTGGATACTAAAGGAGCCCAGGGCCCTAGACACAGGCACCACTGTAGTAAATCCATACAGGAATCTTGTGTGTCAACAAGGTGGATGGATGATATATGTCCATATCTAGTTGTCCTCACCCCTCACAAGTCACAACCCTTGTATTTGGGATTAAAAATAAATGCGGAGGTCTAGCTTGGGCCTCTTGCCCTATACTTGTTACGTCTTTTTTTTTTTTTTCTTTTTCTTAACCATGAAAGGTTACTCACTACTCGGAGTTCTAAAACAATATTGCTCTCACAGTGACAGAATTCCGAATAAGAAGTAGTAGTTGATCAATTAAAGAAGTTGGTCAGACGAGAAACAGAAAAGAGGCTCATGCTCCAACTCAGTCAATAAAAGGATTATCGCACCACGAAGACGGAACTATAATTAGGCACAACATGGCGTTTTGTACAAACACTGGCACAGAAACTGAAACCCTACTTATCCGCAGCCGAGCAAAGGAATGAAGGACCTAAGGAAGTACCCCACAGAAGTGAAGACAATACTATTGGTTCTTATCGCCATTATTATTTTATACTCCATACTTGGAATCAGAAACGTTCTGTTCTGGGGGTGACTTTGTTCTTTCTCACAGTCGAAGGCCAAAGCTATAATAAAATATACTTGGGGTTGTTCGTAGTTAATTGAATAAAAACTTACAATGTGAATATGTATATGCTCGTGGATCGAAACGTTGAACAGTGGCAGCTTTTGCGCATGTCTCCCACCCTTTCTCCGTCTCTCTCTCTCTCTCTCTTGGGTGCACAAAAAACCAGGCCAGGCACAAATCAAAATCTTCTCAGTTCCATTTTAATTTTGTACTAAAATCAAATCAGGCCAAGATGAACAAAAAGCCGGTTTTTACTGTTATTGATCTCCGATTCAATAAAACAAAACAGAACATCAACAAACCCTCTTATTATATTATTAAGTTATATATACGGGCACCAGAGTTGGAACCTTTGATGAGTTTAGAAGCTCAGGAAAAGTAGTTCAGACTTCAGAGGTTTCAGCAGAGAGTTGGAGAAGAGAAGCGTGCTGGAAGAAGAAGCTCGTATATGGACGAAAGAATGTCAGGCTTTTGTCTTAGAGCTGGAGGAGGAGGATATGGTGGTGGTGATCATGGAGGAGGTGGGGGAGGAACCAAGTGCGGGCGTTGGAACCCGACGGCAGAACAGGTTAAAGTTCTGACTGATCTTTTCAGGTCCGGGCTCCGAACTCCGAGCACTGACCAGATACAAAAGATCTCAGCACAGCTCAGCTTTTACGGGAAGATCGAGAGCAAGAACGTCTTCTACTGGTTTCAGAACCATAAAGCCCGAGAGAGGCAGAAGCGCAAGAGAGTATCCGTTGAAGACCGAGATATTATCGAACGAGCAGCAGATAAGGTTTTACCAGAAAAACGTAGGTGACAACGCAGAAAACCATAACAGAATATCCTCCAATGCATGAATGTCGATTTAGAAAAGAATTTTTTTTTTTTTTGTATAGCTCTCGTTGAAACCAGAACTGGTGTTGTTTGTTGTTTTATTGTTTAATCTTTGGTTTGTTATTGCTTTAATTTATGGACCCTTGCGTTTTTGCAGATTTTGTGGACGTTGATCTTGTTTCAGAGCCTGAAAGAACCATAGAGACACTGCAGCTCTTTCCGTTGAACTCATATGAAGAATCAGAGCCACAGAAGCTGAGACTACTTAGGAACGAATGCAAGGAGTCGGCATTTTCTTATAATGGAATGGGCAAAGAGAATGATCATCCGCCATTAGATCTTCGTCTAAGCTTCTTGTAACCAGTTTCATACCTGACTCTTCTAGTGCAGAAGAACAAAAAAAAAAAAGAATACCATCGTTGTTATTCGGATTGGGGATCGGGACCTTTAGTTGTAGTAGACTCTCGTAGCAGTGAAGATTAATGATAAAAATCAAATAGAAGGATATTAATTATTTCTCTGAAACTCAGTTTCTTTTCCGGTTTTTATTTGTGTTTTGTTGATTAACACGTCGCCCCAGATATCGAGTGAGTGGAGTGAGTAAGTAAGGAGCTTTAAATGCTTCAGACATTCTCCTCAATTAACGTTGGTTCGTTTATCTGTGTGATTACTCTGTTGGATTTTTGTTTATGCTTGAACTTCGATCCGTCTCGCGATAAACACAACTCGTTTGAATAAATGCGTAAAAAAATAGTGGTGGACTGGACGGGATGCGAGGGAGTGGTACTGGGGTGTCTGGCTGTATATATAGAATTTCATATACCAAAATTGTCCTCACTCTTACTCCTTATCTGACGCGACTGACTCCACTGACTCCGATGGTGGTATTAGTAATAGTATGGCTTCATTGACGTCCAAGGACGCTGAGGCCAATGCCGTCATTTGGGAGTGGTGGTCTATCATCATTCATATGATCCTTTCAAAAAAAAAAAAAAAAAAAAGATTATTAGGCTCCGTTTGTTTGTACGTAAATTGTGAAAATAAATGATTTCTTAAAAATTTCTGGAAATTGGCAAGATAGCAACACCTGAGGCATGGGGCTGTGCCTCAGCAAACAACAAGAATGTCCCCACAAATTATTCCAAACGTCTGCGGAGTTAGCCTTACATTAGATCAGATCAGACGAAGATGTGTTTCAACGATTGGATGGTTCTGATTAATGTATGGGTGGGCCAGACCTTGATGATGCATCATGGTCAGTTGAAATTTAAAAAGGCCACTCACTAGTGTGAAATTTGGAGCACATGTATTGGATGAAAACAAAAGGATAACATGTTACCACGTGTCAAAAATATAGCCTACTAACGATCAGTTCTCATCTCCTTCGCAAATTACAAATCGTTCCTTTCCCTAATCCCTAAAAAGATGCAAGGAATAAGGATAAGACACCTGTGGCGGACTCGTGTTAGTAATGCTCCATGTGATCTGATCACAACTCCTCCCCTCCAACCAACGGTTCATCTGCGCCGAGCGACAAGGATATATTATTATCCCAATAAACAACAGGAACGAAGGGTTACATCCACCACCGGAAACACAGAAATATAGTGCCATGGCGTCATTCACCATAGCTTTTGCTCCTCCGGCGGGGAGAGTATTTGCTGCAACTGCGGCGAAGAGATCCGGGGGAAGCGGAGAGGAGAAAGGGCTTCTGGATTGGATCCTCGGGGGTCTACAGAAGGAAGACCAGCTGCTTGAGACCGATCCCATCCTAAAGAAGGTCGAGGAAAAGAACAGCGGCACAACGAGATCGGGGCAGAGGGGATCTGTCGCAGTTCCACCCAAGAAGTCCGGCGGGTTTGGAGGACTTTTCGCCAAGAAATGATGACATGTATTTGTAGGTCAGACCCAATTTGGCGACACCTAGACCTTTCTCTTCTCCGTCTATTTACTTTGATGTTTCCCGAACACTTTCATTCCCTAAATTGCTTCTCTCTGTATCTATGAATTCTGAATTTGTTTCCAAATTACGTGCTTATTATGTCTGGAAAGAGTTTGTGGGGTTTAGTTACTTGACTTTTTAACAGGTAGAAACAAAGTAACGAAACGGAAAGGAGAGAACACCAGGAACAAGTTTTATCAAGAGATGCTAAATTAATTGCTAATTGCTATTATATTGCTTGGTTCAAGAAAGCAACATTTTTTTTTTTTTCCTCTATGTAAAGGCGTCGTCATTGAAGAATGAGGGGGGCAATATGCTTATACATTTTTCCTTTCGACTTGTTTCAAAGTATGGATGCATTTATTGTGATATTAGATTCTGCTCGAGTTCTTAGAGCTTGGAGGACTTTTCCTTCTTGGCCTCTTGCATCTATTTATCTATTTATCAACAAGTACCACAAGAAATCGGAGTGGATGCGAATCAAGACATAAAATATAAGGTTTGAATTTGGCTTTGAGCTCGATTTAAGCTTGAAATATGAACTTAAATTTGGCAGAATAACAAATAAAGGCAACTTTTTGCCTTTAATATCAATAAAAAATAATATGGAAAAAATATCAAAAAAGGGTAGTGGTGTTCGTCTTCATCCGGATGAATCATAATAAAATCCCGGCCAAGTAATAACCGGAAATGCTCTTCGTGTCCCAGAAATTAAACTGGCGGCCGTCTCCAAGTGTCCATCTCTAAGGACTCACAGAACCTCCGGACATAAGATTCCAGTCATTCCTTATGAATCCATTGCTTGCCGGAGGACTGTGGATCCGCACTCCGCAATGCTTGCCGGAGGATCATAAGATTCCGGCCATTCCTTATGAATCCATTGTCTTTTCATTCCTCTTTCTTCTCTTGTTCGCCCATGTCAGTGTGCAAAACAGGACATGAGCGGAGGGCTCATCCCCACCCGATGTCGTCACGGCGTTCCGCCCAAGCCTCACCGAGTTTTTCTCACGTGCATAGCCCAAGCCTTGCCAGCGTTCCGTTACGGCGTTCTCACGAGCGGGGGGCTCAATCTTTTTGAAAATGCTTTCGATACTCAACCTGGAAGACCTTGATTGTCTTGCTCTGTGCAAACGAAGAGTTCGACTCCTCCTCCACGTCACGGCGGAGACGCCCCATCGCCAGTTTGCTTTTTGGGACGTGAAGAACATTTCCGGTTATTACTTGACTATCCATTCGCATGAATATAGAGGAAAGAGGAGGAAGATTAATATATAAAAATATTATTTTTTATTGATATTAAGGGCAAAAAGTTGCCCTGTTAGAAACCCTTTGGCTTTACTCAAAAAGTTTATACGTTGAAGCTCAGTTCAACTCAAACTTGATAGTCAATCAAGCTCATATAAAATTTAAAATTATATATAAAAAGTTAATGAGCTAAATTCTATTGGGCTTGATTCTAGTTTAGGTTGATTAGCAAAGAAGCTTATTTATTGGGTTCAAAATTTGGCCCGAAGCTCGATTTAGATCAAATTAAATTTGAATAACTCGTGAAAAGTTTAATTTATACGTACCCACCCCTATTTTATATTAATAAGTTAGATCTATTTACCAAGGAAGGTAGCTGAAGATCTTCATTTTACTCAACAATTTCTTGTTTGGACCTGTATGTGATACTCTTGAGAGTTAGACTTGGGCATAACTAATTCAGTGGTTCAATTCCACATGGGTTTCTTTACTTGCCAGATCTGTTGCTTATGGAACTCCAAAACAATTACCTTATTGGATGGTTTGCAGAAGAGCCAAAACAAGGTATCTTTTTCTCAAAAAAATCACTTATCTAATTCTATTCCATCTTTTATAAGAAATTTGCTCAAGTTAGACCAGCACATACATGTTTGGCAAAATCCCTCCAAATATAGGCAATTGCCTTCCACGGACTAATTATCTGTCTTATTTATGCTTGAATAATTTGAAGTCTCTTGATCCATGGACTCACGGGCAAGATTCTGAGTGAGTTCTCAAAGCTTTGGGAGGTTTTTCCCTCTTGCATTAAAAGGAAAAAGCCGGGTTTTCAAAATATTATGATGGTCACATGATGTAAGAACGGAATGTGATAAAACCACATGATTACTTTTAAGTAATTTTTGAAATCATTAAGAGTACGTAGTCTCAACTTGGAATGAGTACAAATATAAATATGTACAAAATAATACAGAATACAAGGTTTTGTACTCTATATATCTGTATTTGTACTCTTCCCAAAACTGAGTGCAAGTACAATGCAAAGAGTGGAAAGAGTTCAAATACAAATATTTACAGTGCAAAAGCCTTGTATTTTGTATATTCTAAACCTGTATTTGCACCTAACATATTTGTATTTGCACTCTTCCCAAACCAAGCCTTAAGGCTCAGTTTGGAAGGAATACAAATACAAATATGTAGAATGCAAAACCTTGTATTTTGTACTATTTTTTATCTATTTGTATTTGTACTCCTCCCAAATTGAGCCTAAGTATTTGTCAAAACCCCACATGAAAGTGAATAGTTTTCCCTTTTTAATTTTAGATTGGTTTGATTTCATTTTATATAATGGGACATCTTCATGTTGAAAGGGTTTACTTTCAATATAATAGTAAAACCCAAACCCTCGTATCAAATAATTAGAGCATATATATGCTCTAATTTGTCAGTTAGGTCATTTATTGTAAAACTTTATAAGAATGATTGAATTTATAATTGTGTGGTTTAATACATGAGATCTAACTGTGATTGAGATATTGCGATATGACTCAATTCAATCTATTCTGGCAACCGGCTCTACATTTCAATTTATAAAAATGCCCGCCATGTCATCGGAGGCTTATGTGGCCATTGCCAATATGGGACTCTTAATCCATATTGGACACAACAAAAAGCTTATACTGAAATTGCCCTTTAATGTTGGGTGATTCTCTCTCTCTCTCTCTCTCTCACACACACACACACACCATCTCACTCACAATCATATTTATTTGCTCAATGACTATGTGATTTGAAAATAAATAAAAATAGTTTTTGGTTTCTATATTTATGTTCTCTATATCAATTTCTCTCATTCTCTCTCTCTACCTATAATTCTCCATCAATCTCTCTCATTCTCTTTCTTGGTCAATCTCTCTTTCTCTCTCTCTCTCTCTACCTATAGTTCTCCTTCAATCTCTCTCATTCTCTTTCTTGGTCAATCTCTCGTTCTCCCTTAATTTCTATCGTTCTCCTTCAGTTTCTCTCCTGCTACCTTTCTCTTTTGTTTTATTTTCTTACACACTTATATGGTATTAATCAGATCGTATAAAAAAACATGAGACCAACTTGGTATGGTTCAAAAATTATTACACCAATTTGATAAAAATTCACAAGAAACTATTGGCTATGAAATTTACACCAACTGGAGAACGATAGAGATTGAGGGAGAATAAGATATTGATCGAGAGGGAGAGTGAGGGAGAAGAATGAGAAACATTGAGGGAGAACAATAGAAGG